CATAGTAAATCAGTGAAATATTCTGCTTCTAGGAAACTATTATGTGAATTTTCAAAATTATCAAAATTTAATGCTTTTAACCTCCTCGGATACTTAACGAACACTGATACATCTATTCTTGGTTACAAATTCCGCCCAGAGAGAACTGGTTTCAAGATGTACGCAGAGTATACACAACTGCAATTAGCTTTCCTTGCATTATAACCTTGATGCTATCTATTTTAATTACATACAACGACGACTGTATACAAACTAAAAGTTGAAAGCTAGCTAGAGACAAGACTAGAGAAAGCATGAAATTAGCAAAATATTATTCCAAGTTTTCACTGTGGACAGGTGTCTAATGTTTTAATATCTAAAGGAATTGAGTCCTTGCCACAAATTCTGATTTTCTAATCCCTATATCTTTGAACCCTCTGTCGTAAACCTTTGATATTTCAAACTTATATTATTTGATCTAACAGAAGTCATAGTTTGAAATGTCACATGTCTACAGCATTGGACTGCAAAGATATAGGAATTAGAAAATCAGAGTTTGTGACAAAGACTCAATTCCTTTAAGAGGAATACAGTACGCAGTTTTTTTTACGAATTATCTTTAATTTTAACTTTTAATTTTTGCTCTTTTATTAGTATTTTTTTAGTGGATTTTGAAAAATCCAATTTTTTAAGGCCATCCATAAACCTTCCCTGGGTTCAAAATTAGGGCCCGATCGGTTCAGCCGTTTGGACGTCTATCGGTTACAAACAAACAAACATACAAACAAAGTATACATTTAGATGGGTTTCTTAGTAATGAATTTAGATAACTCATTGTTTTTATTCAGAGTGGTGGCAGTTTTTCTAGATTTTAACCGATTAGACGGAACAAGAAAATGACCACTTTCTATCTATTTATCTATCTATCTATCTATCTTCCTATCTATCTATCTATCTATCTATCTATCTTTCTATCTATCTATTTATCTATCTATCTATCAATCTATCTACCTATCTTTCTATCTATCTATCTATCTGTCTATCTATCTATCTATCTATTTATCAACTATTGTGCATAATGCAGAATCTATTAATGTTTCTAATTTCTAATTTTCTTCCATAGTTCTTCTTTATCCAACACTAGCTTGGAAACCCAGCGAAGCCTGGAAACTGAACTTTTCTCTAAAATATTCATTCCACTCATCTTTGAAATTTTAAACCAAGCTAAGAACATTCTCCTGACTCTACAAGTTCTTAAGTCAAGTTCCTAAAGGTTTCTGAGTTATGATCGGACAAACAAACCAACAAACCAACAAACAAACTGGCGAGATTAAACTCAGTAATTGTTTAGTTTAAAATGTACACTACACAGTGTGTACATCCATCTTTTTATTTACAATGCTTATTCGCTTATAGTGGGCCAACCAATCAAAACAACCAACTCTGGTTAGGCGGGTCCAAACTACATTGTGATTTTTTAATTGTATTATCTCGTGCTTTGTAGTTGAATAAAAATATGAAATGAAAATAATGATCTGATCATTCAAATACAATGACAGCAAAAAAGATAAAATATCTTTTTTTAAACACACTTACAGGTCTTATTGACGTAATTGCAAGCTTATCTTTTATAGAGTGGCATCTACCATTCACTACGATGCCCTGTAAAACCATTGTCAAAGTCACTCAAATACTCCTGTATGCAGAGTCCAATAGCGCCTGATCCAATCAGGGTTCAGTCATGTGTTTGTTGTCTATTCTGAACCAATAGAAATAGTATAGCGGTAACATCTATCTTTCTATCTATAATCTCATTATCCAATAAGAGTTATGAATCCTTCAATCGGCGCTATCAGTAAATGGAAATATTTACTTCTACTGAAACTATAGTGCAAATAGAGGTAAAGGGTACCGTTGTGAATTGAGCCTGCCAATCTTTAAAATTAAAGTTACTTAAAATTACGTCTACAGTTCCTTTTAATGGATGGTGAATGCAGAACATCTGAATCACCGTTATCTTTTTATCTCTTTTTTATCCAAATGAATATCTTATTCTATATATATAGTATATATATATATATATATCATCTCTCTGAGAAATTTCATATATTAAATCTATATTTACATACTCTGATTGCTCCCCTTAGATATATATGTAAGAAAATATATATATTTATGTATTTATAGAGAGAAAAATACTTGTAATTGATTAGCTGTAGCAAACCTGGGAAATAATAATCGTTCATTTTTTTAACAGAGTAGAGAAAAGAAAATGGCGAATTTTTACTTTTTGTTTTGTGTAAGCTGTTATTGTGTACACAGATTGAGATAGACTAGTTCAATTCGGGGATTTTCTCTCTCTCTCTTTCTTCATCTCTCTATCGTTCTGTCTTCTCCTTTAAATTCATTTTACACGAACAGGCATTCTGTTTGTGCATTGTTATTTAAGATTCAATATCAATTATACGTTGTAAATTCGAGTAACAAAGTTTATTCCTATTCCTACTGATGCCTCTTCTGTCCAAAACACCCAGGGGGGGGGGAAGTCCCAACCCCCTTTCTATTTCTAAAATGAAATTCTAGCTCATAACATGTCATACAATTTTGAAAAGTCGTTGACCTTGAAAAAAGAATCAGGCTAATAAAAAATAAGAAAACTAAAAATATTCAACATTGAAGGTTTCTTGTTTTTCTTTCCGGAAAACGTTTTTTATCTGCTCTATTACGCAATCTGAAGTATATTTTTTCATAGAAATAAAAGCATCGCAAAGAATAACCCCAAACATGTTTTCCTTTTTAAAGACATTTCGAAAGCATTTCGAAATTACAGTTATGTTCTTTGGCATCATGAACAGAATACTAAGCATATAACATTAAGATTTCGAAATTACAGTTATGTTCTTTGGCATCATGAACAGAATGCCAAGCATATAACATATAGATTTCGAAATTAGAGTTATGTTCTTTGGCATCATGAACAGAATGCTAAGCATATAACATATAGATTTCGAAATTACAGTTATGTTCTTTTGCATCATGAACAGAATGCTAAGCATATAAGATATAGATTTCGAAATTACAGTCATGTTCTTTGGCATCATGAACAAAATGCTAAGCATATAACATATAGATTTCGAAATTACAGTTATGTTCTTTGGCATCATGAACAGAATACTAAGAAGATTTCGAAATTACAGTTATGTTCTTTGGCATCATGAACAGAATGCTAAGCATATAAGATATAGATTTGACTTCTGACTACCGAGGGCGTATGTACAGGGGTAGGGGGGTTTTCAACCTTTTAAGTCATTACAGTCTATTTCTAAAAGAACATGGGTTATCTATAATTATTTGATGGGGCAGGAGGATTATAAAAATTTGATATTTTTCTTCTAAAAATAGCCTGATATTAGAATGTTAAAGATAATCATATTATTAATCAGAAGAGTAAGCCTCTTAAAAAAAAGCGATGGAAATCAAACAGATCACGAAAAAGGGGGGGAGAAAGAAAACAATATAAATTTTCACATAAGACATTGAATTGTAAAAATAATTATTCAATAAATAATAAGAATGATGAAATAAAAATAAATAAAATGAATCTCAGAATGAATAAAAATTATTCAAAAAATCAAATGAATTTCAGAATGTATGAATTCAATTAAATGAATACAAGAATGGATTTAAAGGGAGTGTTCGCGAAAAATGAAAAGGGGGATAGGTTTTCGGTGAAAATAAGCGGTTTGCACGCTACTAATCTTACTTCTATCTGTTGCGTCTATGAGGAGATCATACCGAAAAACGTAGCGTCCATACAAATTCAGAAAGTTGGAACATTCAACTCCGATCGTAAAAAAATCAATTTAATTCCAAACAAATCATTCAGATATTACAACCAATAATCATCGATAATTATTCGATGCATTTCATAATATTTTTCATTTTTTCTTATCTAATAGTTACTTTTGAAAAGATTTATTCCTGTTTCGAGGATTTTTGATAATGAAGAAGACATTTTCATCTTTTCCAGGAATGTTTGAAAATCCAGCGCCAGCAAAATAATATTTAAAAAAACAAGAATCTAAAATATTATGAAATATTAACTATATACGAATGCGTCGAAAAATCATCGATGACTACTGTTTGTAATATCTGAATGATTTGTTTGGAATTAAATTGATTATTTTACGATCGGAGTTGAATGTTGCAACTTTCTGAATTTGTATGGACGCTACGTTCTTCAGCATGAGTCGTTTTTAACCATTTTATCCTTAGAGACGCAACATATAGAAGTAAGATGTGAAGCGATCAAAAGCGCTTATTTTTCGTTGTAAGCCTATATCCCCTTTTATTTTTTGCGAATACTCCCTTTAACGAAAACAAGAATGAATTTAACGAATACAAGAATGATTATAGTAAATACAAGAATTAATTTAATGAATAAGAGAATAAATCTAATTAATACAAGAATGAATTTGATGAGTACAAGAATGGATATAATGAATACAAGAATGAACTTAATGAGTACAAGAATGAATATAATGAATACAAGATTGAATTTGATGAGTACAAGAATGGATATAATGAATACAAGAATGAATTTAATGAATACAAGAATGAATATAATGAATACAAGAATGAATGAAATTAATACAAGAATGAATAACTTTAATGAATACAAGAATGAATTACTTAATAAATACAGAAATGAATTAAATGAATACAAAAATTAACTTAATTATCATACAAGAATGAATTTAAAGGAAGTGTCTATCTAGACATGATTTTTGAGCTGAAAATGCAGTATTAGAGACATTTATTAGGAAACATTGACGTTATTGAATAATAAAAAAAAGGATTCTCAAAATCATCCCCAAAGAATGGACATTCCATGAAGATTTTAAAGATTGAATTTGAGCTCTTGTCTCATAGGTCTCAAATTAATCCTTATACAAATATGTATTCTCAGCTAAACTACCATGTCTAGCCAGTCTAGCTTGAAAACAAGAATGAATATTAACCTGCACTATGAATAGAGTTTCTAACACTATCACTTGTAAAGCACTGAATACTCGAAATATTCTGAAACAGAAGAAAAACAAAATAACGAGCTGAGCAGAAAGTACGCAGGGCGATTCACAAAAAATAAACCATTTGTAAAACCAAAATCTTGTAATTGAAAATTGCGTGGGTATAAATGTTTTATGATTTATTTTTACATTTGTTGCCCAAGTTCTACAACGTTTTAATTTTAATTAAAAGATATTTTGAATTTTCTTAATTTCAAAACAATTTTAAACAATAAAACAGTTGATTTTCGCAGAATAAAAGGCAAATTTAAGTGCTAGATAAAATTGCATTCTAATTAATTTCTTATTCTTATTTCAAAACGTTCATATACACCATAAATAATGAAAAGATAAAAAAGAAATTCAAAAAGTTGTACACCCGTACCGCGTATCTTTTTCTTATTTATATATACGGCCCCCCGGCAAAAGGCATGCTTAAAGAATTCCTTTAACCCTAACCAGAAAATCCAATTTTTTAAGGCCATCCATAAACCTTCCCTGGGTTCAAAATTAGGGCCCGATCGGTTCAGCCGTTTGGACGTCTATCGGTTACAAACAAACAAACATACAAACAAAGTATACATTTAGATGGGTTTCTTAGTAATAACAAATAAATAATTTTATCTTTAAAAAAATTGTTTCTGAATGATTTTAAAAAACTATTAAAAATTGTAAATTGTAAAATGTTCAGAGGTGTTCTTTTACTTTTGAATAGATATATTCCAAAGACAGCATTTTCACAGCTTGAAGAATCAAGTCCACCTGAAAGACTTCACTGCCTTAACTCATGACACATATCTGAAAGCATCTAGTAGGGGGGGGTTGGCAAAGTTGTAAAACTTACATAGTCTTTGTGTCGTGTCTTGGTAAGACGATTTTTGACCCTATCACCGTAAAATTTTGTAACTCTTATCGAATAGTAATTTAAAGGATTTTTTTGTTAAATTTTTTTTTTTAATGTATAGGGTATGGTACAGAGCGGAAAAAAGTCCTGTCTGTGAAAAAAAATTTAAAATAGCCCATACCTTTTTTGTGACTAAAGCTACAAATCTAAAAACTAGGTTTTTGAATAGCCCTTGAAAAATGCATGTAGAAACATGTGTCACACTTTGATATTTGTTGAAAAAAAAAATTTCATTTCTCTGACCCTTTTTTAGGCATTTTTTCCGCTCTCCCCAGCACCCAGACTATTAAAGTTATCGGTCAAATTTTTGTTCTTTGAACTGTCCATGAAAAATTGGATTACGAACATGCATTTCAACCACATATCTACACTCTAAGACCTTTTCCTAGGGGGGGGGGGCGCCAAACGCCCGCCCCAGGCTTTACATAGATTTAGACCCCCCAGCCTTTATAGGGTTAATGTATTCTTTCTTTATTAACAATATAAAGTTTCCAAAATTATAATCTAAGTTTTGCTTTCGCTTTTGCTTAAAAAATTAATATTTCTTCTTTTTTTATCAAAAGGGACAGTGAGGATAATTTCATGTGACCCTCAATGCAATTTTACAATATTTATACGGATTCTAGTAAGCAAAATAACACTGTAATCTGGATGTATCACCATGCAACCTCCTCTATGTGCTTACAGAACAAAACAGCTTGTAAAATTGTGCATCAATTGTGCATTACGAAATTCCGCAAAATTTTCGCAAAATAATTTTTCGCGGAAAAATGCGAAATTTTGCGAAAATGTTTGAGAAATACCAAAAAAAAATGTTCGCGAAATTTTGAATTTTTTACGAAAATTTTCGTTCTCTGGAAACCCTATCCGTGTACCTGGCTGTTTGATGGGCTCCCGTTGGCATGATTGGACCCAGGACCGTTGTAGGTGGGGAAAGCTCTGAGTCTCATATCTGTCTCCTTACTGCACAGCTCTTGTCTTAAATCACGAATTTTCCTGCACCCTCGGGTCATTTCATGAGCTGCTTGGGCTGCCCCTGAACCCAATATATAAAATATATTAAAGAGTTTGTTCACTTGTTTTAAAAAAAAGTTGGCAACAGCATTACTTATTTCTGTTTTTATTGATTTCCTAATTTTTTCTGCACTTTTTTTTAATAATGGTGATTAATTATCAATTCACTTTAAAAAATGTGTGTTCACGTACTCTTAGATTTAACCCCATTTTAATTTATTCGACTGAAAAAATTCACAAACAAAAAATTTAAGGAATCCGGCCCCCCCCCCCCCCCCTCCCTCGCCTTCGTACCTCCGCTTGACTTAATTTTCAATCCAACAAGATTTTTAGAAAAGGAAACTACATTTTGCAATGTTGCAATAATTGTTACTACTGATATATAGAAATTCTATATTTGACGCTTTTCCTAGCAAGAACCAGAGACTGCCCATGAAGTCTAAAATTGACTTGCAAGACAGGGGGATATGACGTCCTTAAGACCCACATTTACTCCTACCGAGGTAGTCATATTTAGATCAGAAAAACTAGGTTCAAGAACTGGGGTATAAGGTTTCTAATGGCATTTGTCTCTGTGGGGGTCCCCTGATTGTGTCTGTATTTTTGTCTGCGGTGGTGCCTCATGTTTTCTCTCTTTTGACTCTCTTCAGTAGGCCGTTCTAAGGGTGTCCTCTGGAAGCATCTTTAGGACGTCCTGTCAAGTCAGAACGAACACAGGGTTCCTCCCCCACAAAAAAAATTCTTTGAAGTGGGGGACTTGGAAATTGCGCCCTCAAAAAAATTATTTTTTAGGGAAACCTGTGTACTTCACAGCTGCACTTGTGAAGAAGCAGACAGGATGTCCTAAAGATGCATCTTGAGAACAACCCAAGGGTTTCCATCTAAACAACAATATTTTAATTGAAAAATTTATTCATAAACACATAATTAAGTAATTAAAAAACACATTGTAGAATATTGCTCTCCTGGTTCCACAGCCGCCAAGCAGAGGGGGAACAAGTCTTATTTTGACTTGACACAAGACTACTTCAAGACTTGGAGGATAACATAGAACCCGCCTGAAAAAGGGGACGGGAGCAGGAAACCCAAATATTTTAATAGCTATTTCTCATATTACATAATATTTGATGAAATTTGATATTTGAGAAAATGGAGGGTCTTGGGGATGTTTCAGGACGTCCGTGAACCCGTCCAAGATTCTCCAGATCTTGCTGGGTTTGATTTATCAGTTTGAAATTGGATAAAACTTAGTCTCATTGTTCATATCATTTTATTAATTTGTAAATTGAATTAGCTCGAACGTTAAACATTAAATTATAATTGCATCATCCCTGTAACTTAAACATATTAGGGTTTAATTTAGGTAGCTCTTTTACCGTTAAACAGAATTATCATTATTGCATCATCTTACAATTTATCCATTTTTTGGAACTGGACAAATTAACTCTGAAAATTCATTCCTAATAAAAATTATTATTATATTTTTATTGGGTATGTGACGGGGGTGGGGGGCTTAGGTAGAGTGTAGACCCAATTAAAAGCTTTCTTTAGAAAGAACTACGTCAATGTTACTTAATAACTATAATTATTGTTTCCACTGAACCAATTATTTTATAAATATCTAAAAATATTAAAAAAAAAACAATTTCTTTAAGTAAGCACAAACTTTAAAAACTAGTTACATTATTTACATTATTCAAAAAGATTAGAATTCCATTTTCCAAATTTTACAAATATAGTTTATTTGTTAAGATTTTGAGTACGAATAAAGAGAATACCTACATTCATGAGATAATGTACAAATATTATATAAAATAAAGTTTTAAGATGTAAAAATGTATAAAATTTTACAAAAATGTATTTAATAAAATTTTATACAAATCGATTCTATATCTTAGACTCTGGCATCAAAAAAAAGTTATAAAAAGAATCGCGAAACATAGACAAAATTTTGTTTGTTGCAAATTCAAATTTTTGGTATATCTTTATATGTCCCAAAAACGAAAATCGGTATAAAATTGAGGCTCTGGCAGCAACTAGTATTTTTGTTTGATGACATCCTGTATATAGTATAATTATACTATCCTATATTCTATATATATATAGAATATAGGAAACCATTGAGGCTGTTACAGTAGAACTAGCAGCGTAGAACTGAAGCCATTCAAATTAGAACAGGGAAGGTTTTTAAAAAATATACAATTCCTGTCTCACTGTAAAAATAGGAATACAAGATTAATTTAAAAAAACTGAAAGGCCTATTCAGGGTGGGGGGGGGGGGAGAAGGTTCAGAACCCTTTATTGGGATATGTTAGGTGATAGGTCCCACGCAAAATGAAGCTAATAAACACTAAATTGTTAGATCATTATCTAAAGAGTTTCAAAAACCCTTCACTTGCATCCTTACAATATGTATCTAAAAAACTATGGAAAAGAACCACAGGGTGATTTTTAAAAGTTGATTTTTTCATTTGTGCTTATTTGGATGAAAAATCCGCAAAATTCAATTTCTTACTTACTGTCCTAAGCAGGTCAAACAGTGTCAAAAATACGACGTTTTTCGACAGTTTTCGCTATTTTCTCCATTAAAAAAAAATTTCAATAATTTTTTATTATGTTTCTGACCAGTTGTAATAACTTTCAAGGACCTTAGATATCAGAAGATCTTGTAAAATACGATTCCAGCTTTTAAAATATTTAATTCGTCCTCCATGTGATGTAAAAAAGTCAAATTGTCCAAATATCGGGTTCTAAGTTTTTTGAGAGCCTCCTTATGCAGAGAAAGATTAACAATGATGAAGAAAATTAATTTCTTTCTCAAATGTCATGTTATAACGAGTTAATAAATATTAAAGTTGTGTTTTGTTGTACCTTGTATTGTTTTGGTGAACATTTGAAAAAAGTCTACTTTTAAAAATGACCCTGTTATACTCTGTGACCTGTATGGTGCAATCGGTTAGGAATAGCATGTTTATAGAACCTATCGGTTAGGAATAGCATGTTTATAGAACCTAACGGTTAGGAATAGCATGTTTATAGAACCTATCGGTAAGGAATAGCATGTTTATAGAACCTAACGGTTAGGAATAGCATGTTTAAAGAACCTAACGGTTAGGAATAGCATGTTTATAGAACCTATCGGTTAGGAATAGCATGTTTATAGAACCTAACGGTTAGGAATAGCATGTTTAAAGAACCTAA